ATACTTACAAGGGGAGATAGATTCAATGTTTGTAATGGCTCAGCCATTCCCAGTCCACTCAGGATTGAATACGTTTTTTTTCTCTTACTTAATTGGCCTCTCAGAGTGAAATGAAAAAATGAAATTAGTTGCACCTAAGTGGATAAAATGAAATAGTTTCTAAGGAGCCAGTAGTGTGTCAATAAGCCAGGCCACACCAACAGACTGGGGAAATCCTGGAAAGCAGTGATCGTGACCCTGAAAATGATTTAAGTGTCATAATGGACAGGCAATTGAACATGACCTCCTAGTGTGGTGCTGTGGCAAAAAGGGCTAATACAATCCTTGTATAAACAGTCGAAGTAGGGAAGTGACTTTACTTTGGTGCACAGCATTAGTGAGACTGATCCTGGAATGCAATGCACAATTCTGCTGTCCACATTTTAAAGAGGATGTTGAAAAAATTGGAATGGGTTTCGAACAGAGGCACAAAAATTATTTGAGGGCTGCAATAAATGCCGTACAATGAGAAATGTAAAGAGCTAACCTTGGTTTAGTTTATCAAAAAGAAGACTGAGATAACTTGAATACAGTGTATAAATATCTACAGGGAGAAAAATTTCAGGTACTAAAGAGCTCTTCAGTCTAGTAGAGAAAGGAATACACAGAAAACCATGGCCAGAAGTTAAAGCCGGACAAATTCAGACTGAAAATAAGGCACATAATTTTAACAGTGAAGGTAATTCACAGTTGGAACAAACGAGGGTGACCAGGCAGCAAGTTTGAAAAATCAGGACAGCAGGTAGGGGGCAATAGGTGCCTATAGAAGACAAAGCCCCGAATATCGGGACTGTCCACACCGGCGTTTTTGTCAGTAAACTTTTATCGGTCAGGGGGGGTTTTTTTCACACTCCTGACGGGCAAAAGTTTTACCGATAAAAGTGCTAGTGTAGTCATAGCCAAATGATTGGGCTCGATGAAGAGGTAACTGGGTGAAATCCTGTAGCCCTGTGTTATACATGAGATCAGACTGGATGATCTAATGGTCCCTTCTGCCTTGAAATCTATTAATCCACAAATTAAATCAGTCCCTACTCACAACTGCCTTGCACCTTGTGTAGTCATTTACATCCATGCAAAGTGAGTACAACGTGGGTTTAAAATACTACCAAAGCCAACCTGCTTACACGGTGTCTGAATTTGGATGAAAGTTTCCTAACCCCTTCTGTGCTGATGATTGCTGCTGCCACATCTGCAACCCAAAATACACACAGGGGGCTGCTACACATACCTGGTGTGTCTCCTTTGACGTGCCACAGGGTGATCCAGGACTCTCGCATGCTACTGAGCGTCTGCTTGTAAATGTTCCGATCCATAGTTAGAGTTAAGCTTATCATGACTCTTTTCTGCAGAACGCCCGTTAAAAGCAAGAGAGTGGTTGTTTTACGGATATAATACAGTGGGGTCTTGAGCCACCGCAATGCAAAGAATCATAATAATTAATAAATAAGAACATAGGAATTGCCATATTAGATCAAACCGGTGATCCATGCAGCTCATTATCCTGTCTCTAACAATGGCTAGTAGCAGACGCTTCAAAGGAAGGTGCAAGGAACCCTGTGGTAGGTAGATAGGGAATAACCTGTTCATAGAGGCTATTTCTTCCAACCCCCCATTAGTTAACGATTGGTTTATACTATCAGGCAAGAAAGGTTTCTATCCCTTCTAGAACTCTTGGTGAATGTTGGTGGGAGGGGGTGTTGCTTTTTGTTTGGGGTTTTTTGCTTCTTTTTCAAAAACCTTATCTATCGTGCCTGTATTTTCTTGTTCACCATTAGTGATCTGCAAGCAGTAAATGAGCATTATGTGCAGGTCAGTTTGTGTACCAATTGTGTGTGTTCCTGAGATAAACCTGTTAGCTTTCCAAAGAGTCAAGGAACTCTCCTGAGGCAAACAAACTCTGGGGCACTGATACTAGGTGATATATAGAGAGAAGAGAGCGTGCAAAGCTACTTACTGTTTTCCAGTGTGGGGAAGAGGTAACAATCAGAGAGACAGCGGAGGAGGTGAGAAAACACTCAAATTGCAGAGACAGCTTTCTTTTCCTGTAATATTTTGTTTTCTTTATACTGAAAGGTAATATAGGGACTGATCCTGCAGTCCTTACTCAGGCAACACTCTCCAATAAAGTTCATGGGGAGTTTTCCCTAAGGATTGCCGTTTATTTTTCATAATATGCACAAATAATTATGATGTGGTTTATGTGGAAGGTTCTAGATTTACATAAATAGTTCACCAACATACTTTCGCAATCTGTATTTTGGGGAAATGTTGGTCTCAGAATTATTTGTATCTTTTATTTTTGGATTCATCATCTTTAGAAGATGCAGAAAGGGCCTCAGCTTTTGTAAATCAGCAAAGCCCCACTGAAGTCAAGGAGGCAACATCAGTTTACATCAGCTGAGGATCTGGCCCATTGTCTTAAAATCCATTAGAATGAGTTCACCTGTCACTGTATGTAAAGCATAATTTTCTACAGGGTGCAACAGAAACCTGGAACTTATGGAACAAATTCATCCATGCTGTAAAGCCAGTGAAGTCACTGTAGTTACACTATGATAAATTTACACCAGTGTATCTATGGGAAACCTGAAATCATTTATTGTTTTTTTAAATTAACTATTTAGAACTAACTTTGCTATACATGATTTTTTTTTAATCTACTGCTTGTATCTAAGTTATCACAATAATATTTTTGTCTAGTTGGTACACTTTATGAGGTTATAAATTAACTGAAAAAAATCAGGAAAAAAGACCTGGGGCAAAATTTTTAGAAAGCCAGAGTGACTTAGGAGCTAAGTCCCACTTTAAAAAAATACTTAGGGAATTAGGGTCCTCAGTCACTGAGGTGCTTTTGAAAATGTTATCCCCAGTCATTACTGTGGATAGCTCAAGGAAAATCTATGCTCAATGTGCACCAGAGGTTAGAAAAGCAAACAAAAATGTTAGGATGCATAAGGAATGGAAAACAATATGGCAAATATTATAATTCCATTATATAAGTCAATAGTCTGACCTTTCCTGAAATATTGCTTTCAATTCTAGCCACTGTATCTCAAAAAGGATGTAGCAGAAATATCAAGGGGTTAGAAACAAGCAGCAAGAATGATTAGAGAGGTCTGGAAAAACTTCCATATGAAAAAAGATGGAAAAGATTAGGACTACTTAATTTATGAGGAGATAAATAAGAGGGGACAAGATAGAGGTATACAAAATAATGACTGTATAGAGATGATAGACCTTGGGTAAGTCACTTTGCCTCTGTGCTGCAGTTCCCCATCTGTAAAATGGGGATACTAATACTTCCCTATCTCACAGTGGTCTTGTGAGGATTAAGTGCTTTGAGATCTATCAATGAAAAGTGCTGTATAAGAAATAGGTATTATTATTATTCCACTGTCCTCTGAAGCAGCTAGTGCCAGCCACTGTCCCAAACAGGCTACTGGACTAGCTAGACCTCTAGCCTGATGTAATATGGCAATGTGTATGTTCCCATGAATCTCAAGCTGTGTTAAGATTCAGTGCCTGAGGTTCTTGATCTCAGTCATTTCCCCTGCTTGGCTTCAAAATCTTGCCTGTTAATAATACAGTATTAAGATATTGTGAAAGAGAAAGGGGACAAATACACGTATACATATTTGTCTGTACATCTTTGCTTAGCACTTTTTAATTTTTCTCCTTTTCTAAACAGTGCTTCCTATTAGTGTTATAATCGAGTATGAAATGTCATACCAAACTTTTCTCAGAGATAAAGGACCTCACTGAAATGTCTTCTTTCCTTACAGGGCAAGTGCAGAATGACCATGTTCAAGTTTGCTGTAGTCCTATTTTTTGCTATCCTAGCAACATCCACCTGCAAAAGGGATAAATGTCTGGAGGGGGGGACTCACAAGCATAGACCAAGCCCTGAGCTGGACATGCATGAATGCACACTGTACTCTGAATGTAAGAGCTGTTTAATCTTTGGCAGAGAATTTTCAGAATAGTTTAAAAGTTGACCTTTGCATCAACTAACAGTCCCTACCATCCTTTTAATTACGTTAACACTGTGCAATATTTACAATAAGAGGTTTGTTTGAAAAGCAACTTTTATTGGCTTTTTCCTTACTACATCCAGTGCCAATTGCAGAGCCAGATACTGCTCTCCTTGAGACCGGCTGCAAAACGATTGGCTTCAGTAACTCAACTTCAAAAATGTCTGATCCAAATTTCATCCAGTTGTACTCCATTTACTTAAGCTCACACTAGGGATGATTTGGGCTTGATATGAGTATGAGAATATTTAAAATACAGCATAATTGTCTGGATTGTGATGTCTCAGTGCACAAATTATAGTCCCAATTAACTTTCTGACCTGATTAAAAAGTATGAAAACTAAAATGCTGTACTGGATATAAATATAAGACTAAAACCAATATTCACTGCATGTCATCTTTTTTCTTCTTTATTTGGTAACTTCTGTATGAAAAGGCTGGAGTTCAGAAATTTCACTCCTCCAGCATATGACAGCTGGTTAAACACCACTTAGCTTCTTGGCACTGACTGAATACATTCTCACAAAACAATATTGATGCCAGTTCAGTCCCACTTAATCAGCGGGCACATTATCATTTCCGAGATCATTCACTTACAAGTCGTAGAAAGTCTTTCTTTTGTAAAGCTTCCCTCCCAGTAGTTACCATTTTGGATTAAGTGCCAAAAAGATTCATTCTAAATTTTGAGTTTTCCAAATTTTGAGTGTTAAAGTAAACCCTCATTGGAGTCTCTTTGTTTTATTTCCAATAGCTTCCTGTTGCTATGCAAACTTCACAGAGCAGTTGGCTCATTCACCAGTAATTCAAGTAAGCAACAGCTACTGGAACAGATGTGGGAATCTCAGTAAATCGTAAGTCAGCTTTGATATTGTCTATGTCCTGGTGCAATAGGACTATTCCACAATAGCTGAAACTGCCAACATTAACTCCCCCTGGAATTTCTGATGGAAACTCCATAGGTTTTTCTGGAGATGTTGCCTAAAGTGGCTGCCCCCATCTTGGCCCCTCTGCCCAGCTCCTCTTTGCTCCTTCTCTCCTCGCCCAAAAATCCATGGAGTCTTAATCACACTTTATTCAGGCAGAGTGGTTTCTGCCATTTCATGAAGGGGAGTGACAGCTCTTAAGACCTGCTCTTTTAAAAAATGCTCTCTCTGGTGTGCAATCATCTGGCAATACAAACCAGTAACAAACCTGGTTTAACTGGCTGGTTAAGCCACATTTACAACCATGCCTGCTTTGTACTGCTGTAGTTGTCCCTTGTTTAAAAAAACAGATCGATTAGATTAAATCTTAAAAAACAAAATGTAAAAGGAAAGCCAGAAAGGAAAATTGCAAATAATGAGAAAAAAATTTTGTAGTCTTGTGAGCCTTGTAACCATAAAAAATGTTTTCCTAACTGAGGCTTATAGTTCGTTGCTAGATTTTTAGAGTTTAAAATATGACAGGCTACACAAATAAAAGAATGAAAGTGCAAAACAATTAAGCAAAAACATATTTGCAAAAGTAATAGCGATCTCCTGCCACTCCCAGGAGAACAACTACAATATGTGGTTTTTCAGTAACTTCAGCTGGACTAGAGAAAATCTAAATCCTGGTGAAATCATGAAACTATAACACAGAAACAAAGTTTGATGCTGTGGTTTGAGGCTACATTTTATTATTGCCTTGAACTTGATCATTTTGTGCCAGCAAAAACTCAGTGGCTCAAATGTTTGTATAAAGCAAATACAAAAGAAGCCCAAATATGATGAATTAATTCATTTAAAAATTAGAGGGAATATTCAGGAACTTTTTTGCATGATTTGTCCAGTTCCAGTAATTACACAGGCAGAAGCCGCACCCAACATCAAAGGAACGAGTTTAGAATCTATACACAAATAGGACGAGAGGATGGATTTAAACTGCTCCATCTAATCTATAGTGATGGTCCTGTTGGAAAGTGTGGACTGTAATCTTGGATGCTGAGAAGCAGACTTAATTGTTGTTTTTCTCACTCAATATAGCTGTGAGGATTACATGAAGAAAATTGAATGCTTTTACCGGTGTTCCCCACATGCCGCTCACTGGATCAATCCCAACTACACTGCTGGTATTGAGTTTGTTCCTTTGTGCCAAAACTTCTGTGATGACTGGTAGGTTTAACACTTTACACTGCTCATATGTTTTGGTTATATTTGAGATACCTGCATTACTCATGTAAGGGGTAGCCACAAATGTGCAAATAATGACCCTCCCAAACAAGTGGCAACAAAATTTGATAGCACTCTGCATCATTTATCTCCCTTCTTTTGTTCAACTTCTCTTTGTTTTCCTACACCTCTAATTTTTCCCCTTTGAATTTATTACCCTGTAAATAATAACATAACTGGCATGGGCAGTACTCAGTGACATCTCCAAGTCTAGTATAAAGTCAGTTTATATAATGGTTTATAATGGTTTTGGAAAGACAAATTATGTGAGCAGCATAATCACATATATTATCTAAATATGTGCCCATGATATAGATACAATTCCTTTATTTCTGTACCTATTAAGTACACTGTGGAATCATGGGATAAACTAACATAAATTCATTTATGTAATAAATTTAATTTATTTTTAACCTTTTGCCTCTTCACCTGTTTTTTGTCTACTAATCCATCTCTGCTGAAACTACTTCTAATACTCCATATTTCAGAGCAGTTTTCAAACAGCCCTCATTTAATAAAAATGATAATGATCTAACCCGAAAATAGTTAATTTTTGCTTCCCCCAAATACAACTCAGATAAAAGCAGGTAGTGAAAATTACTTTTTGAGATGCAAGGCAGGTGGTGGGATAGTTTTAAGCCCAATATCTTGCAAATCATCAGGTCTAGACATCTTGGATCCCACTGGAGAAGTGAGAATTCTGATTTTCCAGTGATCCAGATCCAGCATCTATTTATAGGTATAGAGAGATGTGAAATGTAGATCTTTAATCATGAAACCTTGGTATTTAGCAAAGCTATGTTAGAGCACGTATAGGAGCTGGAAAAATGCATTTGATCTATTTTCTCTATTACCTTTAGGCTTGTGCATAGTAACTAGAGAATTTTGGCTTTACTGGGAAAATGATGTGAATGTAATACAAATAATGGTTGAGATGTTCAGAGCAGTCTAGAAGATTTAGACACCTGTCTTCCATTCAAATTGATGAGAGACAAGGTGGGTGAGACAATATCTTTTATTGGACCAACTTTTGTTGGTGAAAGAGACAGACTTTCAAGCTTACACAGATCTCCTCAAGTCTGGGAAATGTACTCAGAGTATCACAGATAAATACAAGATGGAACAGATTGTTTAGCCTAAGTAGTTAATACATTTCAAGAGAGCATTCAAGGTGAAGTGCCCCTTAAATACCTGTCCAGTCATAGGGGGGAAAGGAGGGGAAAATGCTGGGGATGGGGTTTAGTAGGTTACCAATTGTTGAAATAAGCCATAAATCCAGTATCTCTATCATAGGTACTAGAACTAGAGGTGATGGGGGGGGGCTGCCGCACCCCCGGCTTGAAGTGGTTTCCATTATATGCAGGGTTTACAGTTTGGTTCAATGGCTCCCACACCCCCACTATACAAATTGTTCCAGCACCCCTAATCTCTATTCAGTCCATGATTTATAGCAGGGGTGGCCAACCTGAGCCTGAGAAGGAGCCAGAATTTACCAATGTACATTGCCAAAGAGCCACAGTTATACGTCAGCAGCCCCCTATCAGCTCCCCCCATCCCGCCCTCTGCCTCCCGCCCGCCGGCAGCCCCACTGATCAGCACCTCCCCGTGCCTCCTGCCCACCACAATCAGCTGTTTCACAGTGTGCAGGGGTCTCTGGGCGGGAAGGGGAAGGAGCGAGGGCAGGGCAGGCTCGGGGGAAGGGGCAAGAGCCTTGGGGGAAGGGGGGGAGTGTGGTCAGGACCTGGGGCAGAGCTGGGGGTTGAGCAGTGAGCACCCCTGGCACATTGAAAAGTTTGCGCCTGTAGCTCCAGTCTGAGAGTTAGCACCTATGCAAGGAGCCGCATATTAACTTCTGAAGAGCTGCATTTTATAGTATCTGGAAAAGTTAAGAACTTAAATTCCCAGGCTCATCTTTTGAAGGTGTATGCAGGTTTCCTTTGAGGATGAGGTCTGATAAGTCAGGTACAGAGTGATCACTTTGTGAAACGTGTTCACCTGTGGGTGACAGGGTGTTTTTGTCTTTTATTGGTTTTCTGTGTGAGTTCCTTTGAGAGCATAGTGATTGTTTTGTTTCATCCACGTAGTTGTTAGTGGAGCATTTAGTGCACTGGGTGAGGTGGGTTGTTTTTTTTAAATATGTCCACTCTGCTCTGTGTCAAAGCTAGAGAAGGCAGGTCGAAGAAGGATAAAGCTCGTGTGTTCCACCAATGACTTTTATCCTGTTGTAGAAAATTCCATTTTGCTGGAAGAGCAGAATTGTTGACCATGGTTTTAATCCTGGAGCTTTCAGCGGTCTTTTAGATATGCTGGGCCCAGATTTCTGAGTGCCTGGGAGACAGGGACCAAGACCTTTAACTTGACTGGATAGGCTCAGCTCTGTGGATTCAAATCCAAAACCACCACCACTGAAATTTGAAGGTGTTTAGATAATAGATTCCAGGTTGGGCCCATCTCTTATATACAGTATTTGTATAGTATCAGAGTGGTAGCCGTGTTAGTCTGGATCTGTAAAAAGCGACAAAGAGTCCTGTTGCATCTGAAGAAGTGAGGTTTTTACCCACGAAAGCTTATGCCCAAATAAATCTTAGTCTTTAAAGTGCCACCAGACTCCTTGTTGTTTTTAAAGAGTCCTGTGGCACCTTATAGACTAACAGACGTATTGGAGCATAAGCTTTCATGGGTGAATACGAAGAAGTGGGTATTCACCCACGAAAGCTTATGTTCCAATACGTCTGTTAGTCTATAAGGTGCCACAGGACTCTTCGTCAGTATTTGTATAGGAATTGCTGTCTTTTTATTTATCGTGGTGCCCAGTATATGCTTGGCTTTTTCCAGACAGATAAGAAAAAACAATCCCTGTCCCAAGGATAGACAGACAGATATGTAGACAGGGGTTAGGGGGAATGGGAAACAACATATCACTTTTTTCTCTAATTTTTACTCTATGTACATGTCACCATGATTCATGATAGGAAGCATTGCAAAAGTAGGGCTTCAAGAGGAACTTAAATATGGAGCGATAAGGGTCTTGTGCATGAACTCTGGAAGGTGACAACTTCAAAATGCATAAGAAGCAGCATGGAAAAGGGCATGGAGGGGTGTCATGTGAAAAGCTGATAAAGGAGCAACTGAGGACAGCATCGTTGGCAGAGCAGAGGGGGCAAGGGAGTGACATGAAATATGAACAGTCGAAGGGACGGGCAGAGTTATATAGCATTTTGAAGGTGCTGGCAAGAAACTTAAATCTGATGCACTCATGGATGGGAAGACAATGGAAAGGATTCAGAGGGAAGTGATCAGACCAATAAGCGAGGAGACGACCTCCACTCTGTTCTGCAATCCCATCTGTTGTTTCAAGGCCTGATCCAAAGCTCATTGTAGTCAGCTGGGCACAGATCCTCAAAGGTATGTAGGCACCTAACTCTCCTTAAAATCAATAGGAGTTAGGCACCATACCCTTGACGGTCTGGGCCTTGGAGTCTTTCTGTTGGATATCAGTGGACTTTGGAGCAGGCCCATAATAGGCAATATGAGGTACCACTGAAAGCTAGAATAAACCTTGTACAATCCATATCAATCATACAAAAAGTCATTATCTATCTGTTACGTAAAATTAAAGAACAGCATAATGGTGAAAGAAAATACACATAGCCCATGTAATTTATGCCAATTTTAAGGCCCCTTTTCCACTGCCAGGGTGGTGGAAAGCAAATGAGAATTAGGCCTGTAATGTATATTACGGGTTTCCGTGATGTTACAAAGCACTCCAGTTTTCCTCATGTGGTTTAGCTGAATATAAACAGAACCAGCTGGTAAATCATGTTTTGTAACCTTAAAGAAAAGACCATTTTGGTCTGGGAGTTTATGCTCCTCGGGACAAGGTCTGTCCCTTCTTGAATGTCTGGAAAGCACCAAGAAGATAGTGAGCAAATAAGAAGTACTTATTTATCTGCAGTATTACTTTCCATCCTATTTCTTATGCATCCCACTCATCTGGTACTCCAGTTGGTGTCATATATACCTGGCATAGGACACAAATATACAAATGACCCAATATATTATATGCATGGGTGTGTGTCTGACAGCTTTCAGTGTCATTCCCATTCTCTCGTCCCACCCAAGGCCAGAGACTAAAAAGGTATTTTGAACGAACTTCCCACTCTCCTTGACATTCCAAAGTAGGATTTCCAAGATTTTCCACATTGTACTCATGGGAGTCCTTTTAGTATGCTGCAGCGCTCCTGGGGAAGTGACCTACTTTCTCCATGTGCTGTGAATGTGCCTGCTGTATACTGTAGTCTTTGTGGCCAGAAATGTGCATAAGATTCTGAGAGAGCAGTGATTTCATTTAAAATAAATTCATCTGACTAGCCTGGGGCCTTCCCCTTTCTTCCTATTGTTATAGGATTTCCTGCTCCCATCAGCATTAAAACTATTCTCTTTGAAAGTCCCTATGAACCATGCAGAGCCCTGTGGGCGCCTTTCTTTCTGACCCATCTGCGAAATGGGCCCCTGCCCATCAGAAGGGGAAGCATGAATTCTGAAAAATAATCCTGAACATTCAAATAAGAATTAGCACCAAAATAAAAATACTTAGCAGTGAAGTAACCTGCCCTGTGAAAAGCAGATCAGTCTTAGGCCTGGTCTACACTAGGCGGGATCGATCTAAGATACACAACTTCAGCTACGAGAATAGCGTAGCTGAAGTCGACGTATCTTAGATCGACTTAGAATCACTTACTTCGCGTCCTTGTGGCGCGGGATCAACGGCTGCCGCTCCCCCGTCGACTCCACTTCTGCCTCTCGCTGTGGTGGAGTTCCGGAGTCGATGGCAGAGCGATCGGGGATCGATTTATCGCATCTAGTGTAGACGCACTAAATCGATCCCCGATAGATCAATCACTACCCGCCGATCCAGCGGGTAGTGTAGACGTACCCTTAGGCTATGGCTACATTAGAGAATTTACAGCAGTGCAAGTGCCCCGCCATAAGCTCTCTAACGTAGTCACTCTAAGCTGATGGGAGAGAGCTCTTCCATCGGCTTAACTGCTCCAGCCTCCGGCAGTTGCTCTGTCGGCAGGGGAAGCTCTCCCACACCGCGCTTAAGTCAGCACAAATTATGTCGCTCAGGGGGAGTGGTTAATTCACACCCCTGAGCGACATAACTTACCTCGACTTAAGCTACAGTGTAGCCATAGCCTTAGGGTGCCTGCTGGCTGGTGTGAGGGGCTTTCAAGTTTGCATTTGTGCTTTTCACAAGCCTTTTTTCATGCCTCAAGGAGCCATGTGTGGGTTTCTGGACAGCATGAATCTCTTCAGATGTCAGGACCTTGCATAATTTTGCCCCCCCCCCCAATTAGCTCCCCCTTGAGACTTAAAAAAAAGCCTATGAAAAACAGGGACTGTCTCTTCCTACATGTATGTATTGCACTCAGCACAATGGGGCACTGATCTTGACCGGAGGACCCTGCACATTAAACTAATATAGATGATAAATACAAATAGTGATTAATTCAGGTTCCTGTGGGACAATGTCAAGCCCCCTATTCAGCAATACTCCTAAACACATGTTTTTAAGTGCTTTGCTGAAGAGGGAAGGATTTAAGCACATGCTTAAAGTTAAGCATGTGCTGAATTGGAGCCTAATTGCTGAAGCTCTGATGTTGATAGCTGTACCAGTGCCAGACACAGCAGCACAATGGTACTGGCCAAGCCTGCCTGTCAGTGGCATATTAAGGCTGGATCATAAGAATTGGCCAGTCTATGACCTGCACTGCCAACAGGGCCCCAAAGTCCAGCAGCAGATTCACATGTGGGCAGGCTTGGGACTATCCCATTCTCCCAACCAGTCGTTGCTCAGTTCAGATCTCGTTTATCCTCCATCTGTTCTTGCTGTTACCCCCACAAGGGGGTGTGATGGAAACAGATTTGAGACTTGTGATCAACAAAGCAACATAGGACTTTGGACAACACACTTCCTAGAATATTCTGCTCAGAGTTTGCCAAAGGCTATCCTTGAAAAGTTGAACTCGTACAATTTAAAGTTTAACATGTCATTGTATCACTACTGAGTGGAGTTCCTGGTATCAAAAGTCCACTCCAGCACTACCAGGTGATTACTGCATCATAAAAGCTTGGCTGTTGAAAACTGACTGAATGTGAAAATGTGAGACAAAAGTATTTTCAGCTTGTTGCACACATTGTATAGAAAACAAGTTTAAAATAGCTTTGATCGCTCCTAAGTTTTCAAAGACTAAGGGCCGAATTTGGATGTGAATGCATTGTTGTTCTTATTATTTATAATACACCAGCACCTAAAATCCTAGTAAGGATTGTGGCCCCATTGTGTGAGGTACTGTACAAATCCATTAGTAGCGATAATCCTGGACCTAAAGAGCTTATAAACTAGGGCTTAACTTTGTGTGTACAATAGTGCCAACCTTTGCAATTTGATTTTGAGTCTTGCCCCAGCTTCTGGAGTTATGTGACTATGTGAGAATCTCAGCTTTAATTAAAAAAAAATTAAGTTTCTAGCCTTCATGGTTGCAGAGAAAACCTTGAAAAGGGGACCTGAGTGTACCTTGAAGATTCAAAAACAGAAAGCAAATTGAAAAAAAAAAAACACCAAATGTCTTCTTTTTAAAAATTTGCATGATTTTAAGCCAATCTTGATTTTTCTGGCGCTGGCTCATGATTTAGGAACTCTTGGGGTTACTCAGATGAGTAATTCCACTGAAATCTTTGAAACTACTCAGGGCAAGTCTACACTGCAAATTAAGTTGACCTAAGTTACGG